AGCAGAACTGTAGTAGATTGGTTTTCATTTATACGAGAAGTATATATTGACGATTGTGTTACAAATTCGGAAAGACTTGGCTGGCCAGGCGAAATAGTTGAGATAGACGAAGCAAAGTTTGGGAAACGAAAGTATAATCGAGGTAGATGAGTGAAGGGAACCTGGGTGTTGGGGGAGTGCAGAGAGGTTCAACATAAACATTTGTAATTCCTGTGCATGACCTCTCAAGACGCACCCTTATAAGACTAATCCGCCGCTTGGTTTTGCCTGGCAGTACTGTTGGGTATGGTGAATAAAAGGTAGTGTTTGGTAGTACGTACTTCTTTTAGAAGTATTTACTCGGCTTTTGGTGAATAAACATGCTAGTTGATTCTAGACCCTATTACATACTTTATTAGTAAGGGAACTTAGTATCTTCTAGGCATTTTTGGTGAATAAAAACCGGCCTGCACAGTAGTTACTTCATTTTTACGTAGTACGCTCATGGGCATGCTTCAGTTTTGTCGTTTGTGAGGCGATGTTTATACAAGTCATAACAGGAAAACTTAACTTAACGAAGAAATATTGTAATTGTAAGCAATTACTGCGATTTGAGGATGATATTGTTTATTTTTTACCAACAAGTTTGTCTACAAATTCCCTCTCCCTTTCTCCTATCAGATCTCAATTCCTTCTCTAAGTTTAGTCTGTTTATTTCCCTAAAAATTCCTATCCGTTTTTTCCTTTACTAAGTTTTTCATGTTATTTACATTTTTTTTTTGTTAAATAAATACATTTAGTTAATAATTGTTTATATTTAAATTTCAATCCTTACCAAGAGTCTTCCTTACCAATCTGACATTTTCAACCCCACAATGTTTTTCCCCTTCACTACCATGGAATTTTGGATTTCTCAAATACAATAGTTTTTTTTTCGCGGCTTCACTAATAAAGCCCCAACCACGATTACTACAAAGCGTGAACATGCAAATCTTGTCATTGATATAATTTTTGGTTCTGTTTTGGGGGGACAAAAAATAAAAAGCCCAAGAGTGTATCATGTAAGAATTGATCATCGTCATCAAAATCGACGTCAAACGCAGTCCACCAAATACTAGGCCTACTCACTCAACACGACTGAGAATTAGAAACGACAATCAGATTATCGCCGTGAGCCAGTTGTGCCTTGATTATGGTACTCATAATCAAGGCACAACTGGCTGGTTGTATTAAAATCACTTGATAACCAAGCTCTGGAATACCAAGATTTCTTTATTAAAAGAAGAGGATTCATTTATGAGTTAAAAGTCTTGAGAAATTACATTATCATATTGTTCGGCGTTAAAGACCCGAATCTTGTAAATTGCAAAGGTTGCGTCGTAAGCTTCGATATAAAAGGCGGAAATGATACTCTACACTCCTGGTTTACCCGCCTCGAAAGACCAAATGTTATCATACATACACGTAATAGTAATTGCAAACCAAATGCAATGATTTGAGTAGCCTAAGTAATCTTTACAGAATGCATAATGTTTTATTATTGTTGAATAAAATCAGGATTAGTTTAATTTTGAAATATTTTATTTAGATAGTATGACCCGCTTAATGTTGAAGTAGACCTTGATCCTGATGAACCCACTGAAGGTCTGGAAACAAAATCATCCTTAGGCCTACAAAGGCCTCCTCAACCTCTTAAACCTCCAGAATAACACCAGTCTCATCAAATATTCAGATTTACTAATGTTTGCTTCCCCAACTTCTGAACCGAGTGGTAGAAAGTCTGTTGATTATGAAATGCCAGTCTCTGTCTCAGCACCTGTCTCAACTCCTAAAGAAACAACCCACTGATTGTATCCCAAAACTATTATTATGGGGTACAAAAAGAAACAGCCAACATTGGATAATCTGTTTGACAGAATAACAAAATTCAAAACTAATGATCCAAGAGCAAAACAAATAACCAAACTAATTTATGAAATGATGTGTCTTGATTTTCAGCCAAGGTAGTAGAAAATAAAGGCTTCCGAAAACTTGTGAACCATTTAGAGCCATCCCGTCCCTAAAACGTGTTCACAAAAAGTTCTTATTGCTATGTACAATGAAGTCCAAGTCAAAGTAAAAGAGGAATTGCATTTAGCTGCTTATGTAGCAATAACAACCGATATAATACCTCTGTTGCAAATAATGATTTTATGGCTATAACATCCCACTTCTATTCAGGAGAGAATTATGCCCTCAAAATGACGCATAAAAGGCCTTGAAGCGATCCCTTTTACTGAGATTTCCCCCACAGTTGACAACATCAAAAGTTTTCATTCAAAAGTTCTTAACAACTGGGGCATTGCAGCGAAAGTTGTTGCAGTAGTGAGGGATGTCCAACCAATCTGAATTTGAAGCAATACCTTGTGTTGCTCAAACTTGGCAGCTTGTAGTAAAAGATGGATTGATCAACAATCCAAAAATGAAGAATTTGCTGAAATAATGAAGAAACGTGTCGCAAGTTTTAAGCAGGAAAAAAACACCAAGATGTTAGTTATAGATTCAATTGTACAACAATAATCAATTCTGAAGAATGTCAAAACCTATTGGTCCCTACGTTAATGTAAGAATTCAACTTGAGAGTATTCAAACCCTACTGCTCGATCCAGTGACGAAGCTAAAACCAAGGGTCTCTGGTCCTACTGTAGTTGAAGAAGAAGACAGTACTGTTGATTGTTGTGAAAGTGAACTGGCCCAGTACCCTCATGAACCTCATGACCCTAAATGTACCTAAATAAAAACAAATTAGACCCTTAAGATGGGGAAAAAGTCCCTCACTACCGGGCCAATAGTGTAGGTGAAAAACTCAAAAAGTTGCAATTAAGTATCTTTCCTTTCCCCCCAGTACGGTATTCGGTGAAAGACTTTTTAGCACAGCAGGGATAATTTGTGATTCCAAACGCAATTGACTAGACCCTGAACGTGTGAAAATCCTTGTCTTTCTTAACAAGAACGTTGAGTAGGATAGCTCTAGCTTAGTTAGGCCTAGTTTTTATTCTTGCACATCCACAAGTATAGGACTACAGTTCTTATCTGACCGTCAATGAGTGCAGACCGCCGCCACACGGAGCTCCCGTACATAGTTTAGTTTAATTTACCGCGTGTCGTTTGGCGTGCCTACTAGTGTTGTGCCTTGTCCGTGGTTGGTTCATATATATTTTTATACACATATTTTTTCTCGCATTATGGTGAAGTGTGGCAAGTGTGGGAAGGACATCCTCAATGTCAAGGACTGCCGCCACACGGAGCTCCCGTACATAGTTTAGTTTAATTTACCGCGTGTCGTTTGGCGTGCCTACTAGTGTTGTGCCTTGTCCGTGGTTGGTTCATATATATTTTTATACACATATTTTTTCTCGCATTATGGTGAAGTGTGGCAAGTGTGGGAAGGACATCCTCAATGTCAAGGACTGCTGTAAGTGTTCGGAATGTCAGACTCAGTTTCATACTTTGTGTATAAGTGATTCGTTGAAAACTCGCGGTTCGCAAAAAAGTTGGAAGTGTGAAGGTTGTTCATCAACAGTGACAGCGAGTGTTAGTAAAACCGAGGGTAACCCCGACCAAGGAAGTGAGCTCGTTTTAAACGCAATTGCCGCGTTGCGTACTGAAATCAATAGTCGTTGGGACAGTAACGACGAGAAATTATCTAACATTCAAAAGGACATTGGTGTATTGAATAAGGACATAGAGTTTTTGAAAACCAAAGTTGACGCGGTAGAACACCAAGCCAATGTCACATACATTGAAGTGGAAAAACTTATAACAGACAATACTAAGTTAAACACCGAATTGGCCGCTGCCAAATCAGAAATTCAAGAGCTTCAGCAGCATACTAGGAAAAACAATGTTGTCATCTACGGGATACCAGAACTTCAGAGGGGGGCAGATGTTTTCCCGATATTACACCAGATTGCCAATCTACTCCAGCTCCCGTTTTACCGCCAAAACATAAACGCTGCCCATTGGCTTCCAGTAATAAAGCGTGGACATAACCGAAGTCAGCCTATAATCGTTTCGTTTGTGTCGCGCCTCGTGAAAAATGACTGGATCTTTGCTAGACGACAGAGAAAAACCCTGAAAGCCAGTGAAATAGACGTCAGATTTCCCGAAGTACAGGTGTACATTAATGAACAACTCTCTAAGCCAGAGGTTCCCAAACTGTGGTACGTGTACCCCCTGGTGGTACGCGAGACATTGCCAGGGGGTACGCGAGTAGGACTATGCCATTTTGCGCGATCTAGTGGCGAGGGAAGCCAAATTATGCCAGACATCAGCAGTTTAAGTCGTTCCATTCAAGCTCATCCCTCACATTGAATAACTGATTACTTTCGTGTGACAGATTTATCGTGTGACATTCACAATTCTGAATTTTGTATTTTGTAATTTGATTATAATTAAATAAATGTATTAATGTAGTTTCTTGCATTTTATCATTCCAACCTACTAAGTTTCAACATCAATAACTAAAAACAAAAGTAATAAAATAGTAATTTTATATAATATTAAAAATCTTGTATTGCATTTTATAGTTGAAATTCAGATTTTATAACATAGGTCATAGTAATGATGAATGCATATAACTTGGATTTTTTAAAAGCAAACTTATGATACGTGTACATTTTTAAATTAATTGTATTATGGGGTACGCTTTAATACATAGTACGAACTAAGGGGTACATCACCCAAAAAGTTTGGGAACCCCTGCTCTAAGCAATCACGTATACTCTTCAATGCCGCGCGGGACATGGTAAAGAATAAGAAGTTGATCTCTGTTTGGACCCACGACTGCCGAGTAATGGTGAGAAAGACACCTCTTGGTCGACCCATCCTCGTGACCTGTCTGCAAGATTTGGAAGTAGCTGCACCACCTCCGATGATCAACCCCAATCCTCTACCAGACGATCCTGCCAGCTCCACCCTCACTCCTGGTGACAACACCAGCATAGCCGCCACCTGCGACACCGACAACGTTACCACCTCACATGCCGCCACCTGCGACACCGACAACGTTACCACCTCACATGCCGCCACCTGCGACACCGTCAACGTTACCACCTCACATGCCGCCACCTGCGACACCGACAACGTTACCACCTCACATGCCGCCACCTGCGACACCGACAACGTTACCACCTCACATGCCGCCACCTGCGACACCGTCAACGTTACCACCTCACATGCCGCCACCTGCGACACCGACAACGTTACCACCTCACATGCCGCCACCTGCGACACCGTCAACGTTACCACCTCACATGCCGCCACCTGCGACACCGACAACGTTACCACCTCACATGCCGCCACCTGCGACACCGACAACGTTACCACCTCACATGCCGCCACCTGCGACACCGTCAACGTTACCGCCTCACATGCCGCCACCTGCGACACCGACAACGTTACCACCTCACATGCCGCCACCTGCGACACCGTCAACGTTACCACCTCACATGCCGCCACCTGCGACACCGACAACGTTACCGCCTCACATGCCGCCACCAACGTCACCGCCTCCTATGCCGCTGCTACCAAGAGCGCCGCCGCCTCTCAGACCGCTGCCTCTACACAGCCCGACACTGAGTCCAGCCCTGCCAAGTAGGCATAATGTAATGTAAATAATAATTTTCGTCTTAGTTATTCAGTTATATTTTTTTTGTTTTATTTGATTGAACTGTGATATTGCCATAAGCTTTCTCTAATCATCGTAAGTAAATGTTTTTTAAGGGTTTTAGTATTTTATATCTAATGAATATAACCCAGTATACATGTTTGCAAACTATAATAATTTGTTTGTCTGTCTGAAAAATAATCCTTCTGAATCCACAATAGTAAATGTACGAGATACATATTTAAACAAGAAAATAATAATATTTGTATATGTGTGTCTGTGTGTGTATATGTAGGTGTGTTCAAATATAACAAATATAATAAATAGTATGTGTGTGTGTATATGTATATATATTTTTTATATTTGTGTCATTTAAAACTATATACTAGTTAGTCAATGTCCCACAATCGGTTGACCTCATTGTTAAGGCAGATAAAAAAAAAAATACCCCAGAAGCCTGGGATTTTCAGTTTATTTTGATTCAATTATGATTCTTTTATCATTTAAAACATGTTGTCAGATAAAGGGAAACATCTGTTTTGTGCAGAAAGAATTTATTGTATCCGAAAGCCACAGATAAGGCAACAAAAGCAGGCATTCCTACAGCCAATCCAGGCATGCCGAACGATACGCTAGCATTATCTATGGATAAGAATAATTATCAGGACAAACCTTTTATTGAATGTCAGGAATTTTCCGATATAGATGAATTTAGAAATAGTTTTAATAGTTCAGATTCACTTTGTAACCAAAAATTCAGTTTTAGAGTATTACAGTTAAATATTCGGAGCTATAATAAAAACTTTGACGAGTTTTTAGTTCTATGGCAGGGTCTCCAGATAAAATTCCATTGTATAATTTTGACTGAAGCTTGGTTGAGGAACGACAGTGAGCTCACAGCCCTAGAAGGCTATACCCTGTTTAGAACATACAATAGCCTCAATCAATGTGATGGTCTGGTAGTGTACTTAGATGACACGTTATTAGCAACATGTAACCAGATTTGTATAGGTGGAGTCGCCACCAGCTTGTCCATAGTTTTTACGTGGGCAAATATTGATTGTGAATTAATATGCATCTACAGAAGTCCCTCCTCGTCACTAGCTTCATTTAACGACGGTCTTCAAACATTTCTTAGTATGACAAACAAAAAGTCACTTAAAATTATCGCCGGCGACATTAACTGTGACATTCGTAATCCATGCTTAAATTCACAAGAGGAACGATACCTTGACTTGCTTTATGAATTCGGATTTATTCCATGTATAGATAAAATCACGCGGCCAGTTAGTGATACATGTATCGACCATTATTTTATAAAACTGCAAAACAGGCTGAGTGTCAATGCTTCTGTTTTACAAACTTACATTACAGATCATTTTATTGTTTCTCTTGAACTGAAAAGCATTACAGGTATTAGTAAGGCCAACGAGTTTACATACAAGAATACTAATTGGAAAAATATAACAGAAACCTTGAAATCTCAAAATTGGCGACAAGTTTTGAGTTCAAATGACTTAGATGCAGCAACTATACAATTTAATTTGATTTTGCAGAATATCATAGAACAAAACACGTCCCAACAAATATTGAGAGCTAAAACGGCTAAATTAAAACCATGGATTACAAATGGTCTTCTTACTTCTATCCGCAATCGGGATAAATTAAGTAAGAGAGTTAAGCAAAACCCATTCAACACACAGCTCCGTGTTAGATATGTCAGATACCGTAATTCATTGAAATCCTTATTAAAACGTGCAAAAAATGATTATTATAGAAATAAATTAGACGAGTCACAGGGAAATCCAAGAAAATTCTGGGAAATTATTAATGATGTAGCGGGGCGTCCTGCTGGCAAGTCTAAATTTCCGTTGGAAGTTTTCAGTGTGGACCGGGATACTGCCCCCACCAACGATATTAAACACATTTGTGATAATTTCAACGAATACTATGCCTCTGTTGGATCTCAGCTAGCCGAAGCGCTGCAGCCCGCCGGCCCCCTGGAGGTCGACGACGCTGACCACGCCACCGATTCCCAGTTCTCACTAAGGCCTGTCACCATTGAGGAGCTTTTAAAAGTGATAAAAAGTATTAGAGGAAACTCTGCACCGGGATGGGATGGCATTCCCTCAAAATTTATAAAAAATAATGTAGACTCTCTCATTTTACCAATATTATACATAATTAACCTTAGTATACGGGAAGGGAAGTTCCCAGAGGTGTTTAAAGTCGCAAAAGTCATACCTGTTTATAAGTCTGGCCAAAAAAACTTAACAATAAATTACAGACCAATTTCATTAATTTGCACAGTGTCTAAAATTCTTGAAAAATGTGTAAAACTCCAGCTATCGGATTACCTTGAACAAGAGAAAATTATATGTGACGCGCAATACGGATTTAGACAGAACCGCAGTACATCACACTCATTATTTGAATTAACCAAATTTATTTCTGAAGAAATAAATAATAAGAAACGCGTTTTGATAACATTCCTAGATTTGGCTAAAGCATTTGATTCCATTAACAGACAATATCTAATTTCTAAATTGAGACTAGTTGGCATCGGTGGTCATTCATTAAACTGGTTTATCAGTTATTTAGAAAATCGTTTACAATATGTGTCCATCAACGGTGTTGATAGTGATAAAACTAGTATTGACTATGGAGTGGTCCAAGGTAGTACACTCGGGCCCCTCCTATTCTTGATATATATTAACAACCTTTCAAAAGTCAGAACTAAAGGGAAAGTTTTTTTGTTTGCTGACGACACGGCCATGGTATCGTCTGGACGCACGTGGGATGAGGCATATGAACACGCATCTACAGACATTTATAAAATTAAACGCTAGTTAGACCAAAACACGTTAACCCTTAACATAAATAAAACAAAAAGTTTACCAATATTTTTTAAGAGTGAAAGTGACCCTAGCCCTAGGCAACTATTTCTTCATACCTGCGGCGACTTTCGGTCAGCGGCTTGTACTTGTGACGTCATAGAGCGGGTAGAGAAGTACGCTTATCTAGGAATTATAATTGATAAAAAATTCAGTTGGACTCACCACATTCATTATCTCAAACAACGACTTAGAAAGCTCATATATGCATTTTCTCAACTTGCTGGTGTTCTGACCACGGATTACTGTAGGACAGTTTATTATGCTTACGTGCAGTCTTTGCTTCAATATGGTATATTGGCGTGGGGCGGTGTCTCGGCCTCTATGCTTGAGCCTCTGGCTGTTGCGCAGAGGTCATTAATCAAAACAGTCCTAAGCAAACCATCGAGATATCCAACAGAGGATCTGTACTCAGATTTTCGTGTTCATGATATACGACAGTTATTTGTTAAAACTCTTTTAGTCTTTATTAGGTCAAACAAAAACAACATTTTTACCAATTTGCAGCATAACTATCCCACAAGACATAGAATCAACTTTGGTTACCAATTTCCTAGATTAAATATAACCTCCCTAAAAAGTAACCCATATTTTATCGCCCATATCTTATATCGCAATCTTCCGCCACAAATCCTGCAGTATGAGGAGAGCAGTGTCCCGGTGTACAAAAGAAAGGTGAGTACATGGCTTGCCAGCATTGGCCGGACGGCTACGGAAGCGCTGATAAAATCCCCATATAATTGAGCTTATTAGAAAAAAAGTAAAATGTTAGTAAACTGCTGAGACCCTGGCATTGTAGATACATTTTTGGTTGTTAACTTTAATCTTTGGTTACTTTAGGAAATTCTTCTCTGAAATTACTTATTGTGTTATTTTGTCCTCATTCAATTTAGTACATGTTAACTTTTAAATTATGTTTTTATTTAATATTTACTTATTTTTAAGGAATAGTAACCCAGTATATTAATACATGTTTTACTTAGACAAATAAAATTATTGTATATCCAGAATGTAACCGATATTGTTATAGCAGATCTAGAACTCTTTTTCCGCACACGGGCTTATGCCTATGCTGAAAAATGTATTTCTTTATAATTTGTATCTGTTTATTGTTTTGTTTAATTTTTGGAAATAAACGTTTTGACTTTGACTTTGACTACTCAAAAGTAATGACTGTTTATTTCAACTTTAAACAGGCCAAAAAGTGATTTCAAATTTAATTTGTATTCATTATTTCATTTTAATCGTCTTTTTACATTTAGAATTTCTTCGTAGTTGTCTCATTTAATTTGTATTCATTATTACATTTTAATCGTCTTTTTACATTTAGAATTTCTTCGTAGTTAAATTGTATTGCATTGTGTGATTTATATTGTAAATTGCATTTAAATTGTTCAGTTGCGTTTAAACAACGTTCGTTACCAAATGATGAAAATGTAATAGGCCTACTTAAGAAAAATAATTGTTTGTTGTGCTGTAATTTATGGTAATTAATACGCGTTTTGATATCTAAGTAACATAATACTGAGATTTGCTGTTATAAGATACTTTAATGGATGTCCAATAAATAAAATAAATGCAATAAATAAAAACAGTGCTCAGTTCTAAGCGAATTCAAACAGTAGATAAATTTAAATATATTTAAACTGTATTTTGTCAGTAAACAAAAAAACTTTTTTTATTTCATACAGAAAACAAGAAGTAAGGAAATTATAATTAAGGTTACATTATCTTTAGGCAGAGGAAATCAAGAGGCAAATTAAAGACTGCCGACGACTTTTGCCACCTGCTGCAACTTTAATTAACCTTGGGCCAGTTATCCAAGGAAACTTATCTTGATGGTTGGAGACTTAATAATGTAATTAGGCAATAGTAGTTTTGACGGTCTTCTATAGCAGCATTAGCTAATTATTACATACAGGGTGATTGGTACTCAGTGTGACAAAAGTTTTTTTGTGTAAGTACAATGTAAATGAAGTGTGATGATGCGTATCAATGTTCCAAGTCTAAAAGTTAGCTTCTCAAAAAATAATTATATGTTTTTCAAAAATAACCATGCTTTTAAACTTAATACAGCGATTTCTCAATTACCTGTATATGGATTTGAGTAGATAATGTCATTTTCATGTTCTACATTAAATTTTGAACAAGAATCATAGAAAATGACGGGGGATCAGTTGTAAAAACTCCATTGTAAATAGATTCAAAGATAAAAATTTTTACACCCTGTATACAAGAAAGTGTCGGAATATGTTAAAAACTGCGCCATTTTATAGTAGAGTGACTTCGTAGAGTTAACTATGTTTTGCCTCATCACAAATTGGAATGTTAGTCCATTTGATTCGTTCCATGAATATTTTTCTCTCATTTTCAAAATTAATTTCATTCCTTAGGACTGTAAAACGTTTAACAATTGTGCTGAATTTTATCAATTTATAATATTATATCCGTTATTTTTTTAACGCGCTGATCCATACTAAAAACGATTTGAAAATAGTTGCAGTAAAAATAAATATTAACAGTTGAAAAATTCATGTAACGTTTTAAATTGACATGTGTGTATTAAAATGTATATGTGTGGATAAACGACAATAATTACTTTCTTAGCTCTTATTAAATTTATTGCTATACATATATAAATTATTTCAGGGGCAGCTATATGTTTGTGGTACTATCTTTAAAATTTTAAAGCTGATGTGTGCAAGATTTAAGGCCAAAACAATATTTTATCCTAAAAATACAGTTTCTTACACTCGTTTGTTTTACTCGTGATTTCGTCTTATTTCCCCACAGTTAGTTACAAGGGCGCATTTGGCCAAACACCAAATTAAGCGGTCACAGAGTGCAAAGTCAGCCGAGATTAGAGTTCTGATAGCTTGGTTCAGCTCTCACCTTACCCTTATGTGGGATTACCTTGAACTAAAATGCTCAACCATGTAAAAAGCACTGTTACCGAGAACCTTTCTGGTCACAGATTTTATACTATAAAAATGACAATATGCCATACATAGTTTGAATATTCTATAACACACAATTAATTAGCAGTACACTTCTACAAATAGCTAAAGAAAATCACAACTGGCATTAAACATTCACTATAAAGTTTGTAAACAAGTAAATATATTTAAAAGCAAGGGTATATATATATTTGATTATTATTCACCAATAGGGAATTTATATTTCAATTTAAAACTTCAATATTTTAACTGATTATAATTAGCGAAATTACAAAAATAACCCTCGTCACAAAACTTAGAAAATGCGGTAATCATCATTTGTCGTTCATAAGATTCTCCTTACATAAATATATTGATTTTTATTCATGCCTGCAACGCTTTAACGGCCCCTTTTGCTATGGTAACAACGACTTAAGTAATGACTTAACTAGAGACTTAACATCAACTTGATATAATTGTTATCAGCCCTGTTATTATAATAATATTTCAGTTATGTGTAATGATAGTGGTGAGCAATAAGGCTTACATAGAATTGTCTTCAGCTTGACAGACACCATCTCTTGCAGAACATTGTTATCGGATATTCAAGTAACAAAACCAATAACCGTGACAGTGACAAGATGTTGACATTGATAGAATGTACCTGGGCACATATCGTGGTTTACTGTATTTTTCTTAAAGACTTCGTGCATCAACTAGTTTAAAAAATGTAAAGTAAGATAAAAATAACTGAAAGGGCGATTTAAAACTTACCTTACTCCAAGGTTTGCTTTTATGAACAACAAAAAATACTAGCGACGTTAGATGAATTATTTATAGTCTATACGCACTTATCTAAAGAATATTTATGAAATCAAGCACGAATAATTAAATATATGTTGACCTTTTATATAATCTGACTGAAAGTGTTTATACCAAACCGATCAATGCAAGTGCAGCTGAAGTCTCTCTCCAGGCGAAGCACGTCTGACTGATTGGTGTTCTTCCACTTGAAATGTTTACCTCTTACCAACATCCTACGTGGAATATCGAGATCCTCTCTTCCTCTCATGTAAATTATAGAGGAGTTACGTTTCCCCTTAAAAGAATCAATGATGTTTGACAACACATTCCATTAAACCTGATTTCCTTTGTTTATGAAAACAATCTAATTTGCTATCCATATAATAGTTAAGCTGTAGAGGAGTTACGTTTCCCCTTAAAAGAATCGATGATGTTTGACAACACATTCCATTAAACCTGATTTCCTTTGTTTATGAAAACAATCTAATTTGCTATCCATATAATAGTTAAGCTGTGGAGGAGTTACGTTTCCTCTTAACAGAATCGATGACGTTTGACAACACATTCCATTAAACCTGATTTCCTTTGTTTATGAAAACAATCTAATTTGCTATCCACATAGTTAAGCTGTTTAAATAGTTTAGCTGTTTATATTTCAAATAGAATTGCATTTTGATAAACTGTAAAATATAGAACAGGTACGCATTATAAGAACCCTCCTACCTTGAAAATATTGCTGCAGCAAGATATTACGAACTCTGCCAGCCATGTTTTTGGTGAACATCTTCACTGCAAGAAACTGAAATATTTTTGCCTAGGCCCAAAGGAGTCGGAGAAAAACCATGTACCAGATTTGAAGAAATGCGGAATGTATCCGCAGATAATGAAACATATTAGCTACTTGACTGATAATGCAAGGAGTCTGATATTACAAGATAGCAATAACTCTGCGGAGCATCTTAATTCCGTTGTTGCTAAGGTAATTGGCGGTAAACGAGTGAACTTCTCGAGTCGCAGATCGTATGAAGCCAGGTGCTCAGCAGCGGTAGTCTCTCACAATTCCAGACTAGCGTTGTACACTCTCCACAAATCAATTCTTAAGCATAGCCTAAGAAAGATTTTAAAATCTTTTCAGCAAAGACAGGTGGGAAAAGTACGCAAATCTGCGATCAAAAGAAAAACATCAGTGAAGAAACTAAAGATGGAAAAAATTATGTTATTGAGCAGAAAGAGTCGATGAAAAGCTACGGGCCCTTTTCATGTATACCAACCTGTGGCCAGCTTTTGAGCCGGACATGCCACCAGACTTGCTGGAAAAAAAGAAAAAAGATTTCATCAAATGTCTTAGAAGAACCGAGGAAGAGCGGGAAAATCTTCAACAAGCTACGGTCATGCAATCGCAATGCGGAATTATTGGCCTTTGCGGATGATCTGGTCTTACTAGCCAAGGATGAACTAAGAAACAGTTGAACAGTTGATCAGCAAAATTTTTATCAATGTTGCAGTTTGCTTGATTTTTTACAACATTAATTGTCTCAACCATTCGATCAACTCACTCAACAACGGTAACAGTTAATCTTTCAGCACGATTTATTTATTTATTTATTTACAGACGGAAAACTCCATTTTCAAAACATACAATCATGGCAAGAATTTTCATTCAGACTTACATAGAACAATTCATCATAACATCAAGATGACCTGACTGAGAACCCTAATAAATAAGAATGTATCGAAATATATCAATATATATAACAATAAATAACAAAAAATAACAATGAATAACAATGAATAACAATAAATAGCAATAAAAAACAATAAATAACAATAAATATAACAACAATAATAATTAACAATCAACATGGGGAACAACAAATTTGGTAATTAGCTAACAAAGATAAAAAATCAAAAAACAAGTAACAGTAAACAACAACTACAATGATAAAGAAACAAAAAAGAAGGTAACAGTATAATGATCAACAGCAGCTAAGCGTAAAAACTCTTCAGCCCATTTCTAAAGACTTCATCAGACATGGAGAAGAAGTCCAGGTGTTCTGGAAGACAGTTTCCAAGGCGATGGAGACGAGGCATAGTGCTGTGGTACGCATATTGTGTAGAGCAATATCTCCTCTCAAACAGTTGTTTTGATCTTGTCGATTTCAACGCTCGAAGGTCGATTCTTCCCAACAATTCAGGTGAGTCAACTGAAGCTGAGATTATCTTCCTCAGAAACATTAAATCGGAGACTCTACGCCTGACTGACAAGGGTTGAAGACGAAGGAGGTGGCTTAGCTCGTCCAAGGGTACATCTTGATAACGAAAGCCCAGCTGCAGTCCAACAATTCGAACGAATCGTCTTTGTATTCCCTCAAGAAGTTCTATGTGGCCCAGCTGATACGGTGACCACACTGGAGAACAGTACTCGAGGATAGGGCGGATAAGTTGAACGTAAAGAGTCCTTAGTGCTTCTGGCGAAAAACCGTCCTTAGACACTCTAATTCTACTCAGAGAGCTAGACAGCTAGAAGACAGAGAATATGCTCAACTCAGCAAAACCATCCCCTCAGGACATCCCCTTCGGGGGAAGGCAAACTGGGCCTGGGGGAAGACCGTTGATACGGCGACCCGAACGGGTACTCACGGGCGGTGCGCCACTGACAAGGCGCCTGTCGGAGGCCTGCTTGTGTTTACTGGCAGCGAGGGAAAGAGTGACTAGGTGAACCCTTGTCCGAGCTCGAAAAATGGCCTTTTTCAAGACCACGCCGGGTCGAAGCGCGGGGCCACCCGCCATCTCCTCATGCAGGACGGAAGAGCCGCAGGACCGAGTCCGGACTAAACGGCGGGGACATGGAGCTGGAGGGTGACTCTCCGAAGAAGCCTCGCATCCCCCCCATCCTCCTCGACCTGCCCAAGGGATGGGCGAGCCATGCCGGGACTCTGGGTCAACTAGTCAGCGGGGATCTGACCGCACACTGCTCAGCCCGGAACCTGCGGCTACAGACCAGGACTGTGGCTCACTTTAGGACCATTCAGCGGTATCTTACGGAAAATAAGATACCCTTCCATACATTTGCCCTGTCAACAGTGAGCCTACTGAAGGTGGTCTGCAAGGGCCTGCCGTCTACGCTCTTAGCTACCGAAGTCAGGAGTGAGTTCGAACATCTTGGCTATGCAGTCGTCGAGTCGAAGCTGCTGAAGACACAAGGGGGCCGGAACACAAACCTCTGGCTGGTCACCCTGCGGAAGACGGACGGAGCCTTCGAACGTGTACAACCTTGACAGGATGCTCTACTGCAAGGTGGAGCGAGGTGGTTGTATCATGTGTGAGGATATAATTGAATGCTCTGTTGAATAATTTGATTCTAAACGTCCTTTAATTTCTGTATCAATGATATTTTTTTTTTATTTCAGGCGATTTCCTGATTTTACCGGCTGAGGAAACTGTCGACGTGACAAGGAGTATATTACAAGTATTTGACAAGTTGTTTCTCAAAAACATCAGTGTTGTCGGAATACGGAAGAAAACTGATATGAAATGCAGACAATTAATATTTAAAGAATTTAACATGTGGATGAAGTGTGGCACAGATTGCTACACTCATCGATCCTACTGTCACTCAGGGGACGCAAATCGCTGATGGTTGGGACAAATTATGTCCATGCAAAATCTGTAATTAAATGTAATCCCCTCTGGCAGATTAAAACATATTTTCCTTAAAGATTCCCCGACATTTTGGGATCTGACCATCTCTACCTGTTCGGTATAGTAAAATATTCTTTTCAATGATAAAATCATGAATTTCTGATCATTATTCTCGATCATCTATCATAAATAATTATACAGGAGAATGCAGGCCCAATATCTTACGCTAAATTAAACTCAATTAAAATAACTATTTAAATATCCAGTTATTTAGTTTCAGTAAAACAAAGATCATAAAAAAAAAAAAAAAAACAAATCGTGTAACTACTGTAGGCTATGTATAATGATTCATTGTAACTTAGGCCTCTAATTTGTGTTTTCATACACTTTATTAAATTTTGTTAACATTTAAATGGTGTTTTTGGTTTTTTATTCCCATGAAGGTTAGTTTAATAAGTATTAAGCCTAAAAAAACAAATTAGGTGATAGAAATCACTGTTAATTAATGAAAACTTCAAACAACCCTCCTAAGAACCCGAAATGTTATTGAATCATAGTGTGAAATTTAACAATATTCTTGTTTAGTTTATAGGAACATATTTTTATGATCAAAATATATTTTTTTTATTTCATAACTATTACTTAATTTATAGGTATTAATTAGAAATGTGAAATTCAGTAGTAACAGACATAACTAATTCTATGATACTAAACCTAATGGACGTAAGGTTAAAATACTAAGGTTTATAAGACGTAACTGTACAGTTACCCTAAATAAGGCTTAGTATTTAACAGTTACGGCTATTCCACCTCGTAATTCTGGCTAAAGACTAATAAAAAAACCATAGTAACTGCTGCCAATTATTAAAAAATTGTATCTTGCTAAAAAACACTCACATATTTGTTAAGAGTAAAATTACCAACATTTATATGTATTTTAAATTACGGTTTGATAAAAAATACGCAATCGGCAGTTGCTTAAACTTTGAAGTGGGTTTTCTCCATTTTACTGTACATGCAGTTACCCCCTTTGTGCTTAGTAGGGCAGTATTGTCAACCAAACTCAAATCCATCTTCTGAAACTCTTAAACAATTATGCAACGTTTTAACGGCCCCTTTTGCTATGGTAACAACGACTTAAGTAATGACTTAACTAGAGACTTAACATCAACTTGATATAATTGTTATCAGCCCTGTTATTATAATAATATTTCAGTTATGTGTAATGATAGTGGTGAGCAATAAGGCTTACATAGAATTGTCTTCAGCTTGACAGACACCATCTCTTGCAGAACATTGTTATCGGATATTCAAGTAACAAAACCAATAACCGTGACAGTGACAAGATGTTGACATTGATAGAATGTACCTGGGCACATATCGTGGTTTACTGTATTTTTCTTAAAGACTTCGTGCATCAACTAGTTTAAAAAATGTAAAGTAAGATAAAAATAACTGAAAGGGCGATTTAAAACTTACCTTACTCCAAGGTTTGCTTTTATGAACAACAAAAAATACTAGCGACGTTAGATGAATTATTTATAGTCTATACGCACTTATCTAAAGAATATTTATGAAATCAAGCACGAATAATTAAATATATGTTGACCTTTTATATAATCTGACTGAAAGTGTTTATACCAAACCGATCAATGCAAGTGCAGCTGAAGTCTCTCTCCAGGCGAAGCACGTCTGACTGATTGGTGTTCTTCCACTTGAAATGTTTACCTCTTACCAACATCCTACGTGGAATATCGAGATCCTCTCTTCCTCTCATGTAAATTATAGAGGAGTTACGTTTCCCCTTAAAAGAATCGATGATGTTTGACAACACATTCCATTAAACCTGATTTCCTTTGTTTTTGAAAACAATCTAAATCGTTATCCACATAATAGTTAAGCTGTTTAAATACTTTAGCTGTTTATATTTCAAATAATATTTTGATAAACTGTAAATATATAGAACAGGTACGCATTATAAGAACCCTCCTACCTTGAAAATATTGCTGCAGCAAGATATTACGAACTCCTCCAGTCATGTTTTTGGTGAACATCTTCACTGCAAGAAACTGAAATATTTTTGCCAAGGCCCAAAGGAGTCGGAGAAAAACCATGTACCAGATTTGAAGGAATGCGGAATGTATCCGCAGATAATGAAACATATTAGCAACTTGACTGATAATGCAAGGAGTCTGATATTACAAGATAGGAATAACTGCGGAGCATCTTAATTCCGTTGTTGCTAAGGTAATTGGCGGTAAACGAGTAAACTTCTCGAATCGCAGATCGTATGAAGCCAGGTGCTCAGCAGCGGTAGTCTCTCGCAATTCCAGACTATTGTACACTCTCCACAAATCAATTCTTAAGCATAGCCTAAGAAAGATTTTAAAATCTTTTCAGCAAAGACGGGTGGGAAAAGTACGCAAAGCTGCGATGAAAAGAAAAACATCATTTGTAATATATGCTATGCGTAAAAGTTAATTGTCATATATAATGTACGCTACCGTACATTATAATACGCTTATACACTTATAATACGCTCCCGGGTTTCGGCACCAGGAGAAAGGAGAAGGAGAAAGAAAGAAAGGCGACGTCAGAGTCAGAGTAGTGGTCGTCCGTCAACGTGCGATTGAGGATAGCCGCCGACTGGCGTGTCGTGTAGTCACAAAAATCAAAAGCGTCAAAGCCCAAGGCGTGGCGTGGGCGAGGAGGAGAAAGGAGAAGGAGAATGAAAGAAAGGCGACGTCAGAGTCAGAGTAGTGGTCGTCCGTCAACGTGCGATTGAGCC